GAGCTCCAGGGCGCAGAGAGCGCTGCAGGGCGCCGTCGGGGCGGCCCGACGACTCCGCCAGCCCCATTGAAGCGGAAGTGGCGTTCAGAGCCGTCGAGTGGGCGCACCCAGTCGAACTTGGGTTTGGGGCCTGGGAAGGTGGTGTAAGAGGGCGGCGGTGGGGCCCGGGCCCGGGACGCAGGAGCTGAAGGCAGACCAGAACACCCCTCGCCATCTCCATCACCGCCCTCGGCTTCCTGAGACCCCCGAGGGGTCTCTCCCGAGGGGCGAGTGGCCCCAGAAGCCAGGGGCCCCTGCTTCAGGACCTCAGCGTAAGAGATGGCGCCCGAGGTGGCGGGGAAGAGTCCTCCTCCTCCGCGGCTGCCGAGCGAGGCTTTAGCCCCTAAGGAACCCGAGGCAGCCGCCGGGGCCAAAGGGGGACCGGACTTGAAGGTGACTTTGCACAGCAGACTCAAGCCGGACTCGGAAGGCGCGGGCCGGGCCATTTCACCCCCGCCTGCTTCGGGAGGCGCCCCTCCGCGGGCCCCGCCGGCCGGCCGGCTCTCGCTCCGGGCCTCTCGCTCCGTGGGGGTCGCGGCGGGCGCAGCTAGGGCGGGGGTATTTCTGCGGTCGTGGGGTTGCCGGTCGGAAGGTGGCGGTGGTGGCGGCCTCCTTAGCTCCAAAGGCGGCGGAGACGGAGCCGAGGCACTCGGGGCGGGGGCGGGGTCCTCTTCGGGGTGCTGCCGGGGCCGCGGCGGCAGCGGGCGGAGGCTCGGAGGGTCGCCCTGGCCGCGATGGCTCGCCTCCAGCAGGCTGCGAATCCGGGGCACCGAGGTGCCCGTGGGTTTTCGCCACTTAGACGGCGCGGGCAGCAGGGTCCCCCCGGGGGCCGGGGGTGGTGCGGAGACCGCGGCTGCAGGCGCCTCCTCAACAGGGGGCGTCACTGGCGAGGGCAGTTCTAAGGTCAGGGGCAGGGACGAGGGTGAGGCCTGGGACTGCGGGGACACCAGGAGTCCCGGGGGTGCAGAGCTGCTGGGGAACCAGACGCCCAGCCCACGAGCCAGGCGCATGGCCGGGGAGGAGGGGGTCACCTCGGGCTCCCCCAGGGACGTCCTGCGGGAGTCAGAGGCGCGGTCCGAGGCCTGCTCTTTTCGGGAGCCCCCGCCCGCGGACGGCTCCGACTGCATGTTCCCCATTTCTGATGGAGGTCGGGGACTGTGTTAAGAAAAATTCCACAAGTCAAGTCTGCTGGCTGAACTTGATCTTACCTGTAAGCACGGGCCCCTGTCCTCCCAGACCCACTCAAGTAGCCACTATCCTGCTCTCCTGTCCCCCTGACTCTCGATGTCCAAGCCCTCTTCTTCAGGGCCTCAAACAGTCGCTGTTCAGACACTTAGACCCCACTGAGGTCCTGTCCCTGTGCCGGAGGCTGGTCCTCCACTTTGGCCACGCCCCCGGTCTCCAGGCTCCAGGAGACGCCAGTCTCGCCTGCCTTCCTGTCAGTCACTCAGGCCACAACTCTCATGATGATTGTGCCCAGCAGCCTCCAAGACCTACAAGGAGGTCAGGCTGCTCTAACCTGGCTCCAAGGTACCATCCTCCGCTCCCGCACTCTGGTCCCACCCGCGATTGTCTGGGAATCGGGCCTTTCCTCCGTCTCCACCCCTCTCTGGCCCCACCTTTACCTAACAAATAGCAGGTATGATGATCTTGCCAATCCCTCAGGCTTCATCTCTGACCCTCTGACCCCTCTCTGTCGATTATTTGGGTCCTGCCCTTTTCCTGAACAGCAGCAAACCCTCAGGTCTCCGAAACTTCTTTTCCTTCTGGTCTACCTGCACCCTGAACACTCTGGCTCCACCCCTTTTCTCAAGCCCTGCCCTGGCTTCTTCTTCGCCCAGAGGTCCCCACTCACCGACTCCTCCAGCCGACTAAATTTCAGACCGCGGCCCCCTGGGCCCAGGGCAGGGCGGGGAACGGTCGCAGCAGAAAATAACCGAAGAGAACGGGGATGCGGGTGAAGGCAAGTGGGCGAGACGGAGGGGGCGGACCCCGAGATCTAGGCCCCGCCCCCATGTTCGAGGCCACGCCCCTCTGTGAGCCGGCTACAGGCCTGCCCCTCACGAACCTGGTTCTCCCTTTGAAACACTCCGAAGTCTTCTTCCCCGCCCCCAAGTCTCAGCCCCACCCCTTTAGAACGTTCTTCTTAGCCCCGCCCCTCTATGATACCCCGCCCCCTCCGTTATTCCTTTTCCCCAAACCCCGCCCGTTACGAACACCGCTACGTAGCTCCTCCCTTTTGGACTTTCCATTTGCCCCGTTCCTGAGCCATTTACTTCTGACTTCCGCCCTTTTAGAACGCAGCAACACCTCTTCCCAAGACCCTCTCCTTCCTGGGGCCCGCCCCGAAGGGCCGTTTGCCGGTGACCCGCCCCCTCCATGACGCACACTCCGGTCCGCGCCTTCTGCGTTCTCGCCCTCTCCTCCTCCGGGCCCTGTGACCCCGCCCCTTTGCGAAGGCTCCTTTCTGGCCCCACCCCTTCTCGAACCTTGTCAGGCACCCAGCCCCTCCCATCTAGCACCTAAATCGTAGACCCCCGCCTCTTTAGAACCCAGAGTCCAGGGCCTGCCCCGGACCCCCTTCCCACATCTGCAGGACCGTTGGATCGAAAAGTGGGGGATTCTTTCTGGGCCCTGGGCCAATGGGGGCTGGGGGGCTGTTCGCGAGCGCCAGTACCGGGCTCTAGGACCCAGCGGGCAGCTCCTCCTGCCGCGCGCTTACCCCTCCCCCAGACCGCCCCCTCCCCCCTATACCCGTCTCTCAGGTCCCCCTCCCTCCCCCCTCGACCCGGCTCCCGGTGCCCGTCTCTAGCGCCGCCGGAGCCAGCGAGGGAGCCGGAGCGAAGAGGAGAAGCATGAGGCCGCGTCGCCGCCGCTCGGAGCCCGGCCGGAGCCTCCCAGGCAGGTGCCGAGGGGGGCGAGTGGGCGGGGGCGGACAGACCGCCTGCCCCGGTGAGGGGGCGGCTAGCACCGCGCTGCGCCTCCCGCCCGCCGGGGCGACCCTTCGGACCCTAGCCGGGAGTACAGGGGAGTGGGGGACCCCAAACTGCGCGGCAGCCATTTGGGGGCCAGTCACCATTTGGGGGCCTGGACTTCCTCCGAGGACGCCCCATTCATAAAATTCCGTCCTGGACCCCCATCATTGAGGAACTCCAGGGACCACTCCCCCCGGGGACCACAGATGTGCCGGGGGCGTAGGGCCCCCAGAAACCCCTGTGCCCCCTCCCAGCTAGGCCCTGGGGAGACCCCTGCCCTCTTTCCCTGCTTCACCTGTTGTCGGGGGAGGCGGGCGGACAAAGGAAGCGGCGTCACGTGACTGCTCATTCACAAAATCCCATCCCATTGAGAAAAGGGGGCTGGGGGCGCGGCGGCCGCCCCTTCCCCTCCGGAAGGGCTGGGGAAACCCGGCAGACTGTAGGTGGGGGAGGGGGCTAGAGCTCGTTGCCTGGGTCCCTAAGGTTGGGGACGCCAGGGTCCCTGTGGTGAGTGGCAGTGAGGGGCTGGACGCTGATCCGATTACTGGGTGGAGGGCTAGGTCCCTAGAGCTGGGGGGCGGGGTAACATGCTTTTGAAGGATGCTGGGGGGGAGGCGGTCATCAATGCCTCGGTCTACGCCATCCCCCTGGCCTTCCCTCAGCTGGGGCCTGAGGGAGCAGGCTTCATTTTTGTGAATGAAATTTCGCTGTGGCTCCGTCGTGTTTCTGGCTCCCTCTGCCTCCATCTCCTTTTCGGCCTCTCTGGCCATTTCTGGTTTTCTCCCTGCCCATCTCCCATTGCTGGGTGACTCAGTGAGCTTGCCATCCGGTCTCATTCATAAATCCGGGAAGGGGTGGGGGAAAAAGAGCCTGGGTTTCTCACCCAGCCAGTGTCCTGGGCGACAGGGTGCGGAGGCAGTGTAGGGAGAGCAGCAGGAGCTGGGTTGGTGGGCCCTCAGAAATACATATGCGTAGACACCCAGTTGTGAGGGGGGATGATGGGTGGGGCTGTGTCAAGGGAGATTAATGACAGAGGACGAGCAGGAGGAGGGGAGGTGGAAAACCAAGACCGTGGGGATGGGCACAGGGGACCAGGCGGGCTCAGGAGAAAAGTGGTGGCATGGGGGAGAAAGGCGCTAATCCTGAAGAAGGTGGGCGTGGGGAAAGAAGGTGGGCCCAGGGAGAAAACAGCATGGGGGAGAAGGTGGGCAGAGTGGCGGTGCTGGGTAATGGGGAAGGAAGGGTGCCCATGGCTAGAGGGACAGTGAATCTTGACGTGAGAGATAAAGATGGAAGGGAGAGGGGGTTGGGGTAACATTGAATAGGGAAGCAGGCCTTGGGCTCACTGACGATGTTGTCTCTGTCCCCCCACCTCCTCCAGGTACATGGTGCGGGTCCGAGCAGTGGTGATGGCCCGAGATGACTCCAGTGGGGGCTGGCTGCCTGTGGGGGGCGGGGGCCTCAGCCAGGTGAGCGTATGTCAGGTCCAAGGGGCCAGGCCCGAGGGGGGGGCCCACCAGGGGCACTACGTCATCCACGGGGAGCGCCTCCGGGACCAGAAAGTGAGCCACCCTGGGGCGTGGGGTGCGGTGGGGGACTGGATGGGGAGGCAGGGGAACGGGGCTGGGGGAGCAGAGGAGAGGTCAGGTGGTCTCCCTGCCTGGGCATTAAACCGAGGTATGGGATGGAGTTTGGAAGGGAGTGTCTGTCCTGCGGATAAAAGCTGAGGGGTTCTGGGATTATTGGGGAATTTGGTAGGTCCTATACGGTAGATGGTAGTCCATCTCCTGCTGGACTGTCACAGCAGGCCCTCACTTGTCTCCCTGCTCCTACCCTCGTTTGCTGCCACCTCCCCCAGTCTGTCCTCATTCAGGGCCAGACACCCTGTTGACCCGGAGACCATGTCCCTCCTCTGCTCAGAGCCCCTCTGTGGCCTCTTGCTCAGAGTCTTACCATGAGGGTCTCCACCAACTGGCCCCTCCCTGCCCTAAATACGTGGAGGCCTTTGGGAGGGGACCATTTGGAATTGTCAAATCGGGTTTACAGTCCTACATGTGGGTTCAGCAGGAAATTCTGGGCTGTCTGGCATGATTTGGAGGGACACTAATTGAAGCTGCAGCTGGGGATGGAGGAGAAAGGTTTGGATTGTTTGAAAAGGCTTGGGGGAGGGGTTGCATTTCAGAGCAAGGGCGGGTAGGAAAGATGAGGGGATCTGAAATGGTGTGATGGGTTATAGATACGTCAGGTGAGGGAGACAGGGCATCTAGGGTGTTAAGAAGCATCTTAGGGCTTTAACAATATTTTTGAGTAAGGTTTTTTTGGGGGGATTATTGGGACATCAGAATGGGGTTTACAGTAATATTTTGAGATGTTTAATGAAGTTTGGGGAGCACTACTGAGTCAGAAAGGGGGGACACTGGGTTATCGGAAGACAGTTATCAATAAGTTTCTGAAGCATTCAGTAAGGTTTGAGGGTTTCCATAGAAGCGTTAGGAAAATGCAGGGCTATTCCAAGGGGCTTGGAGGAAATACTGGAGTGTCAGAGGTGTGCTGGATAAAATTGAGGAATGTCCTTAGGGTGTTCGTTGATCAGGATTCAGGGGAACACACAAGATTGGGAAGTGAGATTTAGGGACACTGGGATATACAGAGGGTCTGGGGGTTGAGAGGAAGGCACAGGCAGGCATGGCAGGGTGGAGGTGACCTACCCCCCTTTGCCCCTTCTTGCCCTCTCAGACCACTTTAGAGTGTGCCCTGAAGCCAGGCTTGGTGTACAACAAGGTGAACCCCATCTTCCACCACTGGAGCCTGGGTGACTGCAAGTTCGGACTGACATTCCAGAGTCCCGCAGAAGCTGATGAGTTCCAGAAAAGCCTACTGGCAGCACTGGCCACACTGGGTCAAGGTGAGCATCCCAGGTAGTGGGTGCTGCAGGCAGGTGGAAGGAGCAGGGGCCCAGCCACTTACTCTCTGCCTCTCTCCCTGCCCTAGGCTCGCTCACTCCTTCCTCTTCGTCCTCCTCCTCCCCTTCCCAGGACACCGCTGAGACCCCCTGCCCTCTGACGGTGAGTCTTGAGAGGCAGCTGTGCTGGGGAGGGCAGGGCTTTATTTCCCCTTGACAAACATTCCTGAGCCCCTACTGTGTACCAGGCACCAGGCCACATCCTGGGGACACAAAA